CGTCTTCAAGTACTACAATCGAAAAAAGGTTGAAAAGAACCCCTACGGAGGACTTAACAAAAGATACATTTGTTTTTAAAGCTCATAAAAAAAGAAAGACTGAAAAATCACAGTTAAAAAGACTTTCTATCGATTACACCGTTGACAACATTATTCAAAAAACAAAGATAATAATGAGCTTATGAGTCTTCTTAGTGATTTAAATCTTATTGAAGTTGGGGAAGATGGGATTGCCGTCAATTTTGAAGAGTCGAAGATTATTGATCTACCACAATTAAGCGAAAATAAATTCCAAGAGCGATTCGACATTAGATAAGAAAATTGTCTTTCATTTGTAGAAGAAATAGCGTTAACATTTTTAAGCAAGTTATACAATCAATCGGCGAAAGCAATCAATCTAGAGGTCTATATATCTATGGGTTTTCTGGTTTGGGAAAGTCACACTGCATATATTACCTTGTTGCACAACTGCGCTTATATGAATATGTACATTCAGTAATGATGAATTATCCCCGCTTAATATAGCCGATTGGATTGAATTTGTGACTTATGGCCTTACAGATGATTTGGACGAAAAACTTAAATTAATAGAATCAGATCATTTTGAGTGGGTCGAAGAATTCAAGATGCTCAATAGCGATTCTATGTAAGTAATTTAAATACAATTATATTTTAAAAGTTTTTAAAATATCTTAAAGTTAATATTATGTCAAATTTAAATTAGTGAAACCCGATTTAAGTTCATCAACCATTTAGTGAATTATGTTTGTAGAAAAGGACATTACTGGATTTGAGTATTTGATCAGCATAATGCTTTATGCAAACATAAAGCCCTTGATTTATATCTATTTACGTTGGTGAGAAACATTCCGGCTTTACTTAAAACAGATGATCTTGTTATTGTTTCTGCATCTGTCAATAATGAAGCATGTCCTAAAGAATTCAAATCGTGGAAACAAGTGGTGGTTATGACGACAAAGAGTTTGAGGTAGAGACCACGGATTATGCAAATTCAAATTGCATTTTATGCGATGTGATAATTTCGAATTATGTGAAAATTATGTAAGGAACCATATACATAATTATTATAGCATGTGATAAGTAAGAATTTATTTAAGAATTTAACGGAAAAAAATTTGAAAAAAAATATCTAGTAAAAAAAAAAA